TTGTTTTACAGTACAGATCGGTTATTATTATATTAATATGTATGCTAAAAAGCTAAAATAATGGAAAATGGCAGCCATTTTAAATTGTAATAGCTCAAAAATGTGTACAATATTTAGTTAACTGTTGTCATTGTTATGAGTGAATTTCCAATTAAATGCTGCATTTTAATAACATAAACATACAATGTTAGTGACAATTTTAGGAAAAAATGGCGGCCATTTTGAAACTGCTGGCAACCCCCCTTACGTATGAAATAAAAAATGTTGCACATACTTTTTTGATTTATCAATGTCTACTCTACATCATATCCAATTTTTAACAAATATAGCAAAAAAAAATGCAACCTCTGATATTGCTACATTTCGGACTGAACTATATCCTCAGGTCTTTATCAAGGTAGGTCTTTATCAAGGTATTGATGTACCTTGATAAAGACTTGAGGATAGGCCGAAATATTGGTTTTCTCCAATAGAGTGTTTCTAAAGTCTATACATCGTATTCGTTTCCTATATTCTTTTGTATACATATATACATATACACATATACATATACATATAATACATATATACATATATAAATATATACATATTATATATATAAAATAGATTTAATATATAATAGATTATGAAAGCCTGTAAATGAAATCAACTGCAACCAATGTTACGCAGTCTTTTTATAACATTATTACTAGAACTATAGCCTATACTATAAAAATTATATTAAGTTGAAGAACAGCCTTTATGCAGTTTTCATGAAATCATAGAATGACACATTTGACTGACAACGACATTTAAAGAACACTAATACCACATCACAATATACTTTCACATTTTTGAACAATATTTACTTACTTCTGTCTCTTCACGTTCTCTCCCAGCAGGAGATTCCTAAAAAAAGTCGAAATACAATTAGTACCAATCAGTAGAAGTGATGTACAGTTACCTATGACTACTACACCTGTTACAAAAACACTGGTAGACCCTGTAAAACACAATATAGGCTGCAAAACAATACACAACATTTACACAACACTTCATGGTTATTTCTTTGGTTAATGGAATCGTATATTTGAGACAAATTGATACGCGATTGACAAGAAGGATCTGGTCAATAATTAGTGGCATTACTATTATTAAATCACATACTATCACAAAAATGCAATATTATGAGTACATAAAGATAGATAATGTAAACATGTAAGGAATATGTTATATTTTGGTCAAATTGTTTTTTTTAACCAAAGATTCATCATTTGAGAGTAAGTATAAATATGTTTTCACCGTTTCCAACTCGTAAACACCTTTTTAACAGTTACATTTGGGTGCAATTCCTGAAGCCTGAGATCTAACTTTATGTAACAAAAATATTAGAGTGTTTCCAATAATTATGAATTTTAATAAAGAGTGCAACTATTTTATAGAGGGCGTGATCAGATGCTATACAAGCGGTCGTGGTGGAGAAGGTTTTGGTGTTTTACGGCATCATGCGGACATACTTTTTAGACACAGGTAACCACAACAGTAAACAAAACAGTGAGTTAAAATATTTGGATATCCGATAGAATAAAAACAGTAAAAAGTAAAAATAAAAAAATCTTTTGGAGAATTTTAGAATCTTTCTAAGTAATTTCCTACGTGCATCATGGACCGGTGTTACAACGACCAAAGCAATAATAGGTTGAAAGAAGGGCAGGGTTGAAAGGGTTTAGTGCACATTAAATGAGCCATCTCCGTCACCAATTATAATGAAGAACCCAACACAAGCCACCACACTACGGAATGTTTTAACGCAATGAATACAAAAAAAAAAAGAAAAAATAAAGATATAACGAAAGTATTATGAAACAGTGGTGACAAACCAACCGTTAGAGGGCGTACCTCATCTCGACTCATCTGTGCGTGAGAGGAAGTAAAAACAGTATAATGTTAAAGTGTGACGATAACATTATCTTTTAAAATCAGTTGCTTTAATCAAATAAAATAAGTTGTAAACATTCTTCGTCTGACGTTACGGTGTAGCCTACCCATGCGGAAAACTACGAAGCTGCATGTGCCCTTAGATACAAATGTGCAACGTGTTGAGTTGTACAATAGAAACAAAAGCAAAACCCGAGAAAATGTGCATGCGCCGGTGATAATTAACAGGTTCATTTCAATGCTAAATAAGTTAATGGTAAACGTGCGGCGACTATCATACACACATAATAATTCTCTCTTTTAAAATAACTAGGTATTTACCAAGGTTATCAATTATCGTGGACGAATGAAATGCAACGTTTAATATTAACGTTGTCAATAAAACCATGTTGAAAACACTTTATTTGGTTAGCAATTGAATTTCCGAAAAATTGTGAACGTATCTGAAATCATTTACAAGCTTTGATCGATTATAAAATGTTATATGTATAATAATGTTTACAGTTCGACGAGATGAACTCGATTCCAGGCTAATGTTTATACGCCTATTATACTGTATCAAAACTTCAATGAAGATTGTAACTTTAAGAATATTTATATTTATATTGTATTGGTTCTCAACGCTGACTAATTTTATTTATAAAAAAATATATAAAGTATTTGTATTGCCAATACTGTTTCGCTTCGAAGCTGCTTGTGGTGGGCTGAAAATGAAATTTCTCTCTTTTTTTTTTTTTAAGTGATAACAGTACATTAGAAGATCCAGTGGTGGTGAAGGGGTATTACCCCCTACCGGCAGCAGTCAAAGAATATTTAACCGAGTGTCAAATAATTAGATTAGAGATTTAATGGCTCTCAGGACCTTCACAGTAAGTAAGGAAACACCCTATCTCTACCTCTTGATTGTAGGTCCTCCTCGCTGACCGTTGGTTACCGCGCACCTACACCGGAAAATAACTATGAATCAATCACTTTGTCCTATTAGGCCTGGGCTAGGTCATATACGTTCGAATTACGAACAGAAAATGGAAGAGAATTCCACAGAGAAGGAGCTTGAACAGAATAGGTCTAGATGCAATTACAAACTTGAATAACCAGACATTAGATTGGCCATACAGCTGTGAATTATGGTACATATAGTCTGGCTCTCCAATTCCAATCCAATAGGTATACTACTGCTATTATTGTTTTCATTTGTGGTAAAGCGCAAATGACAAACCTTGTTTTAACCGGCGCTATAGAAATTTTAAAATCTGTATTATTTCTGTACCAAAGTTTCGCCGATATTTAACGATTCAGTCCACGTATATTTCTTAACAAGTTTTGTCAACTACTAAAGTTCCTAATTGGTATATATAGCATTGTTAAAAAGCAAAGTTGAATTTTACTAAATTTATCCCGGGTACAATTAGTTCAGGACAATTTATGATGTCACACATCATTAATTATGAAATTAACAGACTTTCATAAACGAGACTTCTATGATTATGGTTAGCCTCTCTGACTGGAGAGCAGTAAATCATTCCAGATAATTAGTCACACAGGAAAACTTGGATTGTAATGTTATTCCCGCGGCTATATTTCAACGATCAATTAACGTATCTATTGGGAACCAGTCAAGCCATCAATGTCTGCTTATGTTGGACCGAGATATTAACTCTACGTAAGCTATATGGGTGCTATTACAGTAAGTGTGATGGTATTACACGTCAGTGAATATCTTCACACTTCGTCATGTGCACACTTGAACGAGTGCTATTAGTATTAATGTATGTATTGCGCCTAATAGCTAAGTAGATGTTTATGTTCTTCAGGTCATTATGAGCTAGATTTTACGGTATTCTTCTTAATTTGTTCTTAATTAAAGTGGTCGATTTCGTTAAATCGTAGTCGGTGCTAAAGAGCTCCCAATATCAAGTTACTTTCATGATAAATGTTGTTAACTTAGCCGAAAGGACATTATTCCGTTTGTAACTAGGTCTATATACAAAGTATGTGAATATATAGGTTGTTCAAATCTGATTAGTCAATTCCGATTACAACATTATCATGGATAACATTATTACGATAATATTTAAAAAACAAATATTAATGCTTTAGCTAATTTGGAAGTTGTTAGGCTTTCGGACTCAGATTGAGGTCAGGTGATCATATCCTTTTTGTGTACATTTTCCTGTGTGCTCGTTTAACGTCTACGTCTTACCCTCTGCCTGGTAAGTACGTACGGTACAGTACTAGGATTCTTGGCACTGGAAAAGATCGCACTTTGCACCTTATTTATGCACGCAAGCGCTTTTTTTCTGATTATGAAAGGCGCTTTAATAAATAAAAAAATATTATTATCATTTTAAAGTTATTTGAAAGTCTTGAATTTGAATCAGAAAATTAAAAAAAAGTGCATTGGACGCGGGAAATCGAGAAGTGTTTTGGAAACGTTACAGAATGATATTGAGGTTGGAGCTGTGGATAACTGCGTAGTTCATGCTATGTATAATCAACGAATGAAACTCTGTTGCATCTGATAACATAATGCTCAAATTTAATCAGATAACTGTATCTAAGACAGGCAGCTTCGTTGACACCTTGAATGTTTTAAGGTTTTAAGATTTCAGCTAAAGTAGATTGTATGAATAGAATAAGCTTTTAGTTTAATACCTGTGTTGTTACGATCCACTTGTAGTCCTCAGAAGCCATACCATGATTTGCCGCCTGTATAAAAAAGAGGCGAGACTGAGAACAATATCTCAACAAACGTAACCAGAAACTTATAATTAAGTTTATTATTGTTACTAATCTTATGTTCATGTTTTGACCTTAATAAAGATGATTTATTTTAAACCTGTTACTTACCATTTGTAGTAATTTCAAGCTGTTTCTGGTGTTGCAAAATACGATAAAGTGTTTAATTGATGATTTCTTTGCAAGATCCAAAGATGATACCGTGTCTAGCTCACCTGACCGATTTCTTTCCAGACGAAACAATATTACTTCAAGATAATAATTATCACTCGATGCTTCTGTTAACATATCTTCCACATTCCTAAAGGCTGAATTAAAGCAAAGACAGTTCAAGAACGTAACATGATGATACGCATACCTTTTAATTTGGAAACAAAAATATATGGTTAATATTTCAGGATATTTTGTCTTTGCTGTTATAAATTTGGTTCACACTCCGTCTGTCGGTGACCGTCTACCGATGAAATCCTCCACACTTGCCTCCACAATAGCTGATCGTCGGTAGTAGCATGCAATTCAACAAAAGGACGCACATCTCTGCTCGTGTACAGCGCGTGCGTACAGTCCTTTGATCTGTGGCATCGACAATGTCCGATACTAGCTGCGAGTACAGCCGTCAATTATTAGTCTATCTGTGCCATAGTTTTATGGTGTTAGTTACTATTAAATTTGGGTACTTTGCAATGTCTGTTACATCTGATTTCTTTTGACCACGAGTTTGTTTTAAATCCAAAAACACTTAAAACTTGTTTGTTTTTCTATATAAAAGTGCTTCTATAAAGCACAATTCGATTCGTGAAAATTGACCAACAAAATGAAAGGTTAAAGAAAATGAAAACTCACGATTTTTATTTAAAAAAAATCATGTTCTTGTATAACATTAAACTGTCATTTTTACAATGTTGGACTAAGGTGAACAAAGCAAACATTTGAGTTGATACAGAAAATTTATTTATTTTTTCTGCGAAGCGAGTCTCATGAACCACCGGACACCACCTCATCGGTAAAAATAATGTTGAAAACAAATGTAATTTCAGTCTATGTTAATGCAAAAATTCATTCGGCCTTTCTTACCCCACCGCACGATGCGCGATTATCATGACAACTGACACGCGCGTGGGTAATTCGTCACACGCTGGCGTTATGTCATAGAATGGTCCTTTCCAGAATTTCAAACAAACTGACCAATCAAAATATTGCCAAGATTACGCGCTTGTCACACAAAAACGCATGTGTTTACGTACGTACGTACGTTTACGCTTAGCAACGAGATCCAAGGTGGGGGAGTGGTCTTATCGGGAAGGCCCATTATCAGCTGCCGAAGCCAACGTAACGTGCGCCGTGCTTAGTCTTGTATTTTATGATATAGTAGGGCAGTCAGCAATAAGAACGTTGATAAATGGCTCATAAAAAATATTATTCTTGAGAATTAGGAAGCAGATTTTGTTTCATTTGCAAATATAGTTTACGGCATGATTGAAACGAATGTGTCTATTTTTTTTTTTTACTAAACTGAATTACAAAAAAAAATGTTGATTTAATAGGTGCTTTTATTCTTCTGTTGTTATCTAAATATCTAAGATGGAGAAGTAGACTACTATTTGCAGTAGCCAACGTCTAATGTAATTGCTATTAGTTGAATTCGTGTATATTTTTTGCGGTGATGTCTGACATGCTCTGTCTGAATTACGTATAATGTTTTGAAGTACCAAATTCAGGCACGATAAAAACAAAAAGTGATGGTGGTGGTAATGATGAGGATGATGATGGTGATAATGACAGATGATGGTGAGTATGACAGTAACTTAATTGTAATGATGTTGGTGGTGATGATGATAATGATGGTGACGATAATGATGATATGAATAATGATGGTGATGACGACGACGACGACGACGACGACGACAACGATGATGATGATGATGATGATGATGATAATGATGATGAAAAAATTTAATAATGTAATCGAAAATATTCTATATATATTTGTAATACTTACCAATGTCACTATCGTAGAAGATACATACTTTAATCCATTTCATATACTTTATGAAGTCAAACACAATTGCATTTTGATGCTCAAACGACGGCCTGATACTGACAGTAAAACTGTTACTTTTTTCTATGGAACACTTATCCTTAGGTACAGCAAAATGCGGGATGTTGTATTCTTCAGCAAGCGACTGAATTGCTAGATTCGATTCACACGATGTTGAGGACACCAGTGCTGTGATGTTATCGTCCAGCAATGAGCAAGCTGTTGGAGACAAAGGTAAAAAGGTATGAATAGTGTATAAGTTATAATATCAAGTCCTGGGTGTTTAAATTAATGTACCACGATTAGCGTGCTAGCTGAGTTGCACTGAACGCTTACTGTGTTGTACGCCGGGTGGTACAACCGTCGTACGATGAATGTAACTCCGCTTCAAGTGAGCGCTAGGCGACGCTTCGCCGTCTGCTGATTGTCGGTGGCAGTCTAAAAGGATTATCATTTATATATTTATTTATATATTTATTTATATATTATTACATTTATATATTTATTTATATATTAATATATTTATTTATATATTTATGTATATATTTATATATATATTTATTTATTTACTTAATTATTTATTTGTTTATTTTGTTTTTTTATTGATTTATTTAGGCACACAACATGGTCCAAGGATTTTCAATAGCAAATATATCACTGTCTTATGTCGTGGCGTTGCGTTCTCCGTAGAATCGCGTCACCCAACGACAGTCGAGCCCAGTGAGTGCCCGGCTTAACTAGAACATCGAGGCCAGGTTTATGCGATTTTCAGACATAAAGGTTTGAAGTTCGAATATTTAAGCTCCAGTTTAAACTGCAGGACCACAAATTAATGTAGACCTTATTCATAGGATGGGCATTGAAAGAGAATGTTGGTAAGTTTTACGCACGATGTTTTTATTCTGAACTACATAACTAATTATTGCTTTAAGTAACAGTTCGCACAAGAAGTGTGTAGAATATTCAATGATATTTTATGATAGTAATAATACTAATAAGTATTCGAATGACATTTTCAATAATAAAGACTGGTTGAATATCGTAGCTGTGCTTAATAATGGGATAATTACGCCATGCTATGTCATAAATATGAACTTTAAGCCGATGAGAGGCTTTAAAATGTCAACCTTTTCATAACATAAGCAATTAGTTGTTGCAGCCCCGTGTATAACCGTTGGTAAACACTGATCTAGGGTATTAGTAAAATTGTTTGTTTATATTCTTCTATATTTTAAAGAAGAGCTAATGCTTATTAACACAAATAACAACCGATGTTCGAATAGTGTTGTTTCTCTATAAACTTCTGCCTACTGTAAATTATTTTTCTTTATTTTAGAAGACAAAAAATAAGTGAAATTAAACTTCATTAGTATAGTATATGATATAATACGCATAGGAATTGATCGGAGAATAGGGAAACATCAAATTTAGACTACAAAATCATTACATAATCGAAAATAAGAAAATTGTGAACAGATAACAATTAAAACAAAATTAATTGCTCGTAATGATAATTAGAAAATGGTAATTAAAGAGGTGCTAACGTCACAGTTTCGCAAGTTTAATTACGTCAGCTAGTTGAAGCTTTTGAGATACGGTACTGTATATTGCGCATACGCAAAAACCGATAAACGTCATTTCGTCAAAATGAATCAAGATAGCCATTTTTTAGTTTACGTTGCCACGATTCTAATTATGAAATCGGTTTATTCGCAAACCCCGATAAAGTCAACGTATTTTGCACTACAAGCAAACGTTTTATTTTTTTTGCAAAAGCCCATAAACACCATTCCATGTCTTTAGCAAAGGCCGATATATCTGTTTCAGCCAATCAGCGTGCAGCTCTGAATTGAGGCGACTGACACTACTCTCTCACAGATAGTGCTTTGCGGTCTAGTCTTCTCGCTTGGTAAAGACGTAAATTTAGTAATTTCTTTGAAATAATCAGGGGCGCCTGCGACGTGCCCCCACCCCCTTATATCACAAAAAAAAAAAAAAAAACTAAAAAAAAAACCACTTTTTTTTTTTGGAGATAATTGAATGGATACATAATTCCATAGAAAGGTTGATTCTATGTCATATCGTGCAATGCATAGCTACAAAGACAGTTTAAGCGCAGATGCACCAGCATGGAAACCTTTGTGCAATCAATCACTCTCTATCGAGGTCAGCAGATATGTGCATAGTGACCCCATGCACAGTGACCACATGTGTGCACATCTCCATTGACGACACCCCTTCAGTAGACTTATGAAATTGTATAATCCTATTGTCTCTAATTGACATGAAACAAAGTAGGCCTACCTAAACCTAGGCCTACTTCCAGTGGCGGATTTGGGTGGGGGTGGCGCATAAGGGGCGTACGCCCCTCTCCCCCCCCCTATTTTTTTGCAAAGGAAAAATTACACCCACAGTTTTTAAGTCTTCTTTTCCTACCAAAAACACCCTAGGAGAGTGCTATTCATAAATCCACTTGATGAGAAATAGAACACTTGTAATTTACTCAATGTTAATATACTGTACGGTAGCGAATTTGGTTGATTGACGACTTTTTTAACGGATTTTAGATATTACTTTTCCTTTTTGCTGATTTTGTGATTTTTATGTTCATTGCTGAGAAACTTCATCAGTTTTTCTAGAAGTGAAATTTCTCTTTTGAAATGGTGTACATTTATGGCCTTTGCATGTTGTCAACGATTATGTTGTGAGTAGATGAATTATTACTAATTTAATGACACATGTCATAGTTGCATATTGCAGGTACCCTGTATATTAAAATTTCTTTTAAAAGACATACACCTATTATTATTACTTTTTTTTAAATTTATTTGTTACTGAAAACTACCATGCTAGATAGTCAAAATCGACTCAATACAACCTCATATTCCTCAAATGTGCTGGGCTTCCACCAGGGCCTCTGCCCCTGGACCCCGCCGGGGGCCCTAGGCGGCCCCCCTGGCCCCCAGCCTAAGGCTGCTTGCTTCGCTCGCAGACTACACCCCCCTTTTTTTTCTGGCAGGCTGCATCCGCCCATGCCCTCGGTGCTTCGTACCTTGGCTGATCGTCCATCTTTACTTTGCCGCCGCCCCCTTTCCCTTTTGCTAAATCCTGTATCCGCCACTGATAATGGATAAATTCAATGATATTGAAGAGCCTGTGTTGAATTCTCACCATTGGGACATAAAAACAACGGTGGCCAGGCAATTTTGTTCAAGCTGTGACCACGAGAACTAGGGTGAAGTTATAGGGCCTAAGAAGCCTAGGTAGGCCTAAGTGGTGAGGAAAATGTTCACCCTGTCGTATGCACACCGTGACCCTGGCCTAGCTACGGTTATGTTGGCTACCCTCTCTGCCGACGATCTTCCTTGTATCCAATATCGTGTCATATATAATAAGCCTTGCCCTACCCACCCATTCTCTCTGATACCTCCACACCATTGAGTTTTACTATTTCAAAATAATAGCCCAAGTAATAACACTCAGTCTAATATTGTATGTTATACAGCACATAGGCCTACAATACAAAAACAAGCAGGGTTGAATTCAGAAACATGATGTAAGCACACCTCCCTACACCCCCCCCCCCCCCCCCCCCATCCGACCAATCAGACCTGGTTTTGATTGTCTCAAAATGAGTTTCTGTTTAATTTAGAATAGTAAATTAATTTGTTATAATGGTATTACATTTCAGATCCCGATGATGCTGGATTTGTAAACAAAATCAGGAGGTGAATTTATCTGTTTTTGACGCAAACAAAATCAATATTACCAAATTATCTTTCTTAATGAAAGTTTACATTTTTCAAATTTTAACAGTATGATCCCACATATACATCGATGAGCCTGTATTTTTTTAAGTGATCTTTAGAAGAAGGCTTATTAAAAATACTTAATTATCTCAAAACTAAAAAAATGGATTTATTTGTTTTTTTGCATATGAGAGATTAAGAGCATGTTGAATATAGTATGTAGAAAGTAGTAGTAATAAAATAATAAAATACTACCGTAATAATTTGTGTATCAATTAATAAAATCATAATTATATATACCATGTCACTGCATAGATCTGCATATAATTGCATATACCTCTATACTATGTTATTTGTATATAAATCTGTTGATATAGGCCTACCAGAACATTACATTGCTAAAAGTTTTGCTTATTTTTTATTTGTGAATGTGATGATGATTATTATTATCATAATTGTAATTAATGATATTATTATGATTGTTTTAAGTGGAACGCTTAACTAATCAAGGTGTCAATTTGCGTCTAAAGTGAAGCATCAAATAAATCAAACCACGATCTGTTTGTACTCTTTGGTTTTTTTCCTATCAATTTGTTACGTTGCCGCAGCTGCGTCCGCTAAAGTTTTGTTTCAATGTGTGTGTGTTTTTTTTTTTTTTGATATGGAATAAAAGAAACAGAGAGAAAAAAAAGAAAATATCGGTTAAACGAATAAATCAATCTCATTCAATACTGAAATCGATAATTTCGGAATGGAGCAAAAGTTTTGTTTGGAACGATGTGCCAATATCTCGAACGCAACACACGTATGAACTTTTTAAAATCACGTAATCGGCCCAGATGCGGGTGCTAAGATTTCCCCAGGTAGAAACAGATCGTGGTTTCATTTATTTAATGCTCCACTTTAAACGCAAAGACTGACTTAAACACCTTGATTAGTTTAGCGTTCCACTTAAAAATAAGATGCGAGTTGACGTTAAAATTCAGACAGTTTGACGTTTAGAATATGTTGAAGTGGAGAACAAATTTGACATGTATAGAGTTACGGTGAACTAGTCATAACAAGATTCATTTGTTAGAAAGGTTATAGAAACGGCGCTGAATTCGTTCTTTCAGTGGTGCATTGATTTGATGAATTAATGATCACTAAGCCCAAATAATCTATGTTTTGATTTCATGTGTTGAAGGCGGTTAAGAATGTTACACATTTCAAGATAGGCCTATGCGTTTCAAAAAGTGCAACTAACAAACCAGAATATTCAAATTCAATGTTTGGATTTATATTAGAAACTTTTAAAATTAGAATGAGAATAATTGTTCTCTGTATAATTAGCATATATATAAACATATACTGTTTCTATGTAGGCCTATTTATAATTGGCTGGTATAAATCAAGATTGTGTAATAGTAGAGCCAGTGGGGGAGGGAACACGGATGACGTCGGACCAAATACACATTCATTTGCCTATCC